CGTGGTGTATATACAGCACATATATAAGCATCTACATTCTGTGGACTAACTATATTTGTGTTGACCAAAATATTAGTCATACACTGCACCTTATTACTAATGTATTTGTTAGTTTAATTACATATTCTACACCAACAAAGGTTAATAAAACAGTAACTATACATGATTCACATTGTACATTATCATCATTGCGCAACATCATTTGAACATATGCCAATGACTTTTGCAATTAAGTTCAATATATGTACATTGCATAATTTTCTGATATCTAACTGTAGAACAACATTGTAGTATAAAGTAAGTACCGGTAGTGCGAAAGAATGTTTCAGAAAATTTTCAAATGGTATTTTAAATTATACAAAAAAAAAACGGTAAAAAGTGAAAAATGTGACAAAATGCACAAAACAAGCTCTGTGTGTTGTTTGGTAAAAACAAGTGTTACAACTGAAAATATTACAAAGCGGTGCTTTTTCTAGATAAGTACATACGTGTGTACTCACGTATATAAGTAGAATGTGAAACAGGTAAATAGTTATAATAGTAACGACTTATCATCTTACATTGATAATTACATTTAATTGCATTTCAAATATTGAAAATTTATATATTCTCATAGATTACGCGATGCTATAAAAAGAAAACTGTGACTTTGAACTGTATCTTCCGATTTCACTAGCAAAATAGATTTAAACGATTCGCAGTAAGCTTCATCCTTCATTCGATAGCCATTTCTTGAATATTAATCAGATTTTCATGATGAAACATAAATAAACAGTCCCTAGATATTTAATACAAATATAAATTACAAGAAGTCAAATCCTTTCGTAATACGATAATTGTTATTTTTAATCATAACGTTTTGATATGTTTTGTGTCGAAGTTATCCTATGTTATTACTTACAAATACTGTCAGAATATGACATTTTTCACAGTTATAACAATGAAAAAAACCATCTGAAGACACAGTTAAAGATACTACACACGGTAGCACAGACGAATTGATTAAATTTTATATAGTATCTTTGAAAGATGAATTCATTATCAGTACATTATGTACACAATATTTTAATGTAAAAATCATTAATAGGCATAGTTTCATTTATAAATCAAAAACTTCATGTAAAGTTATATGTACCTCTAAAATCTGTATCTCATTGTAAACCATTGTTTCAACTTAAAATTTGAAACACCTATATAATGTATAACACTTTTCACTTTTTTTTTATTCGATA